CACCACCAAAGCAGGTACCCAAAAAGACAAAGCCTAGAGCATTCCTAGGAAAATGCCAGAAAAGCCTTTGAAAATCTCATAAACCAACAGAAAACGTGACAAAATCTACGAAAAAGCAAGGGCATTGGCCGGGACCATGCCGCGACCAGCCCGGGATTCGAGCCCAGGACCATTTTGGACCGTGCTTATTTTCCCGCGCGGGTCGAGAGGGTGCCCCAAGATGTAAATCAATTGGGATGGCAGATTCTTGGACAATCCAGGTCGCTTTCCCGGCAGGATGAGGGGTAGGGGAGGTAAGGTCTAGGTCTAAGGCTAAGGACTAGGTCTAAGGTCTAAGGCTAAGGCTAAGGCCTAAGGCTAAGGCTAACATCGACAGTCACGCCTCACCCCACGGTGTGGGGTCGGCGGATAACGGCTACTTTTAACAGCACTGATCCACCGCCTATCACCTTGTTGGTCAGTCTTTGACCCCTGAGGATATCCTCAGATGAAGGCCATGTTCTTTGGCAACACCAAGCTGAGCGACCATCCCTTGTCCAAGGGCTTCTTGGCAACGCGAAGATACGTGAAGAGATGAAGCGACGCGAAGTGATGAGGCGGTGATAGCCATTGTATCTCCCAAACGCTCCAGGGTAAGCAAATATGGCCTACATTCATCACTCCAAGCTACCGAATGTAGGCCATATTTGCATACAGGGAGTGGTTGGGTCTTATCTCAACACTGAGCTGACAGACTAATAGTGATATGGTCAACCCAGCAGTTCCTCTTGCGGCCTCAGTTCTGGTGCCAAACATGATTTTGCTTAGGGCTTATAAGGGCCCATTTGTTATTGGCTTTTCCCGGTTCCTGGACCGCAATCCCAGGCCTTCCCAGCTTCTTCATTCGTGACCTTTTTGGAGTCTCTAAGTGACCTTTTCCAGGCCTAAGTGACCTCAAACCAGGGGATCAAAAGGTCACTTTGAAGAACCAGGTCAGTGTCTTTTTTTTTGTGCTGGGACTTGTTTGGAGATTTCGCCTGCTGCCCAGACGAATCATGCTGGTCCTCAGGCTGCGCTCCGACCTCGTGGGGAGATTGAAACGCACTCCCTCACCACCTGCACGGGTCCAAATACTATGCGATGATGCAGGTGGCGCTGTACCCAAAGAGTTTGGGTTTCAGAAAAAGGCCTTAGAATGCCTTAGGTTTTGTCATTATATATGTTGTTACACATTGGACAACTCACTCCAGATGAATGCATAATGCTTTGGTTCTCATGAAGGTCGCGAGGGCAGCCAAACCCGATTCCAAAGAGCGCTCTTGATTCGTCCCGTATGGTCGGATGAAGCGATTCCGCTGGTCTTCTGGTCCGACTCCTTGCACTACTTACTCTCTCACCGGCACAAGGCCAAGAGAACGTGGAGTTCCTCTCCTCGGAGACATTGGCACTGAAAGCCATCGGCCTTTCACTGGTGGTGGCCGTCCCTGAGCCGAGAACTAGCGTACCCTAAGGGGTGTTACATGGTGTTCCCTTAGATGTCCTTAGATGTCCTTAGAGGCCTTTGATGCACGGTAGAGGCCTCTAGAAACCCAGCCATCCATAGATGCATCCCTGATTCCTGAAAGATCCTGACAAAAGCTGGGAATTCTGAACCCAAGAACGTGATGTTCATGTTTGTTTATTCCAAGATGTTTCTGGTGGCATCCCTGAAGGGAGTGAGCTGCAGGCCTGTTTAGCCCTGCTCTTCGCCATCTTTCTCTGTCCGCGCATTGTACCTCTGAGGCTCAAGTGCCCATTGGCCAGGAAGGCAGCTTGAAGAAGTTTAGAGAAGACCACGGAGGAGGGAGCTGGTCCATCCGCAGCGTAGTCCATGCGCGGAGTCCAACGCCCCAAGTCCTCCAGCAGGATCCGTCGGTCCATCCGCGGTAGGATCAGATTTTGTGGCTCCGCAGTTCGATCAGATAGGGAAACAGCCGATCGAGTGAATCGAAACAGTCCACGTCGACTTTGGCCGATCCAAGCCTTGACTCCCTTTGCGACCGGATTTGCGACCAGGTCGGGCGAGCGGATTTGCAGCGCTTGGTTTTGGCATTTTGTTGGGTGGATGTTCCCTGAAATTTCGATCAATTCTCAGAGGATTGCGTAACTCATTTGAACATGCAACGAGTCTTGGATGGAGGGCGAAAAACAGTTGCTGCATATAGTTGCATAAGTATTGCGTGGCATGTGTACAAAAAAGAACAACAACAGAGTATTCTGCATTGTTTTGAGCCATTGCTGGCACCTTCCCAACCTTTCAGCCTTGCTGTTGTGCGTGACCTTGCAGAATTCTGAGGTCCTAATGTCCATATGGCCGCCTGCATCTCACGACTGGTGCGGCCAAAGTTCTTTGAGAGGAATCTGAACCTTGTCAGAGAAGCTGCGGGTAGATAGAAGCCTACAGGGATCCACAATGATCCACATATTGTTTGAGGTTCAGCAGTTGAACTTGTAAATTGGGTGTGAAACAGGAAGGTCCAGATATATAGCTACCTTCTCAGGAGGTGGCATTTCATTGTGCGGAAGATATGGGGACGATGGGACGATACAAAGATTACAGGATTATGATGGCAATATCTCTATCTCTATAAGTCAAGAACTCTGTAGCACATCCTGCTCCCTGTGATGTGAGCATGGGTGTCGATCTTCTCCTGATTCATGTGGGTCCTTCAATTAAGCTAACTGGAACAGAATTGTTCCCAGCACATGATCAGCTTCCTGGAAGTTGATCAAATGCTCCTCAAAAGAACCGATGTCAAGCTTTGCTCGCTCAAGTCCCCCCCAAAAAAACAGGTTACAAAACACACGTCTTCACAAATCTGATGAATGTTGGGCATGAGCCAAGTGTCCCCATTCAGCACACCCAGAGTTCTATGAGGAACTGTGAGTTGGTCGTCCAAATCCTACACGCCGCCTGTGCTGCGGGCGTAGCCGCCACCTTCTCTTCCCTGATGGGCGGTGTGCTGTTGTCCTTGGATTCTTGGCGAATTGAAGGAGGAATGATGAAATTCTACAATGGGACCATGGGTTCTACATAAGCATTTGGCACCTTGCAGTATTTGTGTGTTTCTTGTTTCTACCATCATCGCATCACCTCTCGCACCCGTCGCACTCTCGCACTTCGACCTCTTCAGCGTCGACCCGTCGGCCCCACCATCCTTTCGGGGGAGTCCAGGAGGACGAGTCGTGAGGACGAAGCGAAGCGAAATCGAAATGACAGACATGACATTGACCAGAAATTGGGTTAAGGAAGCAACTTCAATGGACTGCGAATTGCAAGAACATAAAGAACCTTGACATATAATATATATATATATAACTATATATGTAATTATAGTGGATTGGTGTCAACAGAAATGGCAGACCATTTCTTTTGAGGCATACAATATACCGACTTGGGTCTTTGCATGAGACTGCCGCTGGAGTACCTTTGCCATAGTGAGCCAGCGTTATGTTACTTCACTCATGTGCACATTGGTAGTTTATGTAGTTATAGACTTGTTGACCCAGTGACAGTGAGAGTTGAGTCTTCCTGTGCAACCTCCAACTTCATTCAAGAGTTTGCAGCTTGATAGCCCAACTGGTGGGAATCATCAACTCCAACTTCACTGACAGTGGAACTCTCAACTTCGCAGCCCAGCTGGTGTCAATGGTGATCAATCTCCAACCTTACTCAGGAGTTGATGCTCCCGCAGATCTATACCTTCCAAGTCTACTGGGGCTGTTTCCTGGGCGCCATTTGCGGTGCAGTCACGGTGATTCTGCCGCTGGGGCCGTCATCGTGGCCTTATCCACACAGCTGGGGAATTGCAGGGTTGGACACGTCGCCAAAGAGGTTGCGTCAAGTGAATGTCATTTTCGGGCTGCTTGTCCAAGAGTGGCAGGTATGCCTGCCAGATCTTTCAAGCAAAAACGAAGGTGAAGACCAAGCCCATGGCCTACAGTCATCCCCAAACTACCAACTGTAGGCCATATTTATGCCATATGTAGGCCTACATCATGGAGTGTTTGGGACTGTTTGTTTCGTCGGACGAAACGTGTCGAACCCACCACTTTTGGGACCCACCTGGGGAGAGTCGCTCTCGTCGGTCCCACGGCCCACGGTAAAGACGAAAAAGGAGACAGACGAAACCGCTTCTGAGGTGAAAACCACAGAGTCCTGGATTCAATTCGGGCACGCGGTGAAATGCTAAGGATTCATGATGGCTTCCAATCTTCTCACTTGCTCTCTACCAACGTTCTGCCCTTGGAAGGCCGGGGAAAAAGAACAGCGCGGAGGACTTGTTCAGTTCAGGGCAAAAACATGTTCCCGCACCAGAAAGATTGGGGCACTGATGTAACAGAGGCTCCAAAGTGATTGACAGTTTGTCTCACCTTCTTTGTCTTTCTAGAAGGTGTTTTTTTAAATTTCTGCCAAGTGTTCAACAGTGACTGGTCAAAGTAAGTTGATTCATGAGATTTTGCGATGGCTCCAAAGCTCCTTCAGGTATCAAGATCTTTCGATACCAACTAGATCTGGTCGTTTGCAGATGCTCCTCTTGGAGGAATCCGGTTTCCATGCTGTCCATGCTGTTTGGGTGTCCTCTCCGGAGATCCCTGTTTTTAGTGTAGGATGGTCCAGACAGGGTGGTCCAGGTAAGAATCTCTGTGCTTTGTGATTCCGTGGTGTAATTGGATTGTGCACGACACGGCCGCCACGACTGGCTACTCGACTGAACCTGGAGTTCTCGAGTTCTGGGAGCATTGAAGCTTTTGGTTGGATAGGCCCGCTTGAAATGATATGTATATATATATATTATATATATAATATGTTCCTTAATTAAGGTTTGTACCATTACCTCTAACAGTCAGTAAACAAGGACATCGCTACTTTTAGTGAACGGCCTTTAATATTGCCGTCATCATCCACTGTTACGGTACGTAGTCACTGACCGTTCGTCTCGAGGCGACAACCGCCTCACTAAGATGCAAAGCGGAAAAAAACCACTGTTACTGGTAATGGGATAGACCCAATATATACTTTTGTTCATGATTCGATGATTAGATTTCTGGCAAGAACACGGGTGTCCTTCCCACAGGAGCCGGGTGGGTATTTGTGTGTGTAAGTGCATGTATGTTTATTCCCAAACAAAAACATGTAGTCACCCTATACACTCCATATTTGGGATTGCTTCTGTTTCACTCACTGCAGAGGTGTGCCTGTGCACTATCCATTGGCCTGCTGCTTGGGTTACATGGCCATTGGAAGCCTGGCTTGTGGGTGTGGTTCATGCGGGAGTTCTCGGCAGTTCCAGCAAACCCATTTGTCCAACTTAGGTGGACAGGGTGGCAGAGAAGGTGCTTGCTTCTTTCTCCCATTGCAAACAACAAAACTAAGAGGAGCTTGAGGTTCTACCTATCCTCTAGTTACTAGTTTCTACATCCTGGCAAGTACATGGAGCTCATCTCCTCTGTGGTTTCTGGGTCAAAACACTCTATCACTGCCAACACAGTGTTCCTCCGTTCACGACCCCCGGAACCCACTGCCGCCTCTCCGAGCACCCTAGACCGCTAGACCGTGCAAGCTGAGGCGTGGTCTTCGGGCTTTTGGGAGGGCTCTTCAACCTGGCGCACGACCAGACGATCCGCAGCTGCGGACGTCTTTGGAGGAAACACGCGTATCGGTGCAAAAAAAACAATGCTTCGACGGACGTGGATGTGGATGCCCAAACCATGGTGGGCTCGAGGTTCGGAAGCGAAAGAGATACAAGATGATTCTCAAAGTAGTGGTGGATCCTTTTTACGGTAGTGTGACCAGTACGGTAGTTTATGGTAAGCTGAGGTGGCTGAATGAGAATGTGTTTTTAAGCAGATTTTCTGATTTTCTAGTCAAGGAACTCGCAGAACACCCACCATCGCTTTTATCATTGTCCCTCTTTCTGATTCAAGGTAGCATCCCATGACAGTACCATGGCCAGACAGACCCTCCTGCCTTTGATCAACAAGTCGAAACAGACTGGACAAGGTCTTTCAGTCTCCAGATGTCTTGAGAAAGGCCCGCATTGCTCAAGTGGGTTGGTTCCACTTCCATGTTTTCTGCTTGGGAGTATCCAGAGGCATTTGCAAAAGACATTCAGATCTTCCGACCTACTTCGGTGAGGGGGAATGCTTTTGTTCGCGGACTCGACAGAGGGGTGATTGGCTAGGACCTAGCTGCTGCCATGTTGCTACATGTGCTTCAGCTCCTGTCATGTTAATTCCAAGACCATCCCAAACCTATGAAGTAGATTCCCCCAAACCTATCAAGCAACATCCAATCAAAAAGAGTACATTTTTGCCACCATTTGTACAGTTGTCTGCTGTCAGGAGCAGCAAAGACCGATGGCAATGGCGGGATTTGCTTTTTGTAGCTGTGGTGGGGGCGCTGAATGCGGCTTGCTTTGAGCTTTTGTCAGATCTGTTGAAGGCTCTTCCAGGCAGAAAAACGAACCACCAAAACATCTCAAACAGCTAATGCCAACACCGGATTAACAAACGGGGACCCTCCCTTCAAGGTCTGAGATTGGAGGTGTTGGGAGACCACATCCCCCTAATAAAGGTGATGACCTGATGGATGATGAGATGAGGACCTGGACCTGATGGTGGACGATGGTTTGATTGGGAAGATTTGGATGAGAAGGAAACTGAATGGGGAAACCACGGGATTGGGACACCATTTGGTGATACTCTCTTTGATTGGGAAGATTTGGAAGAGGATTGCAGGATGAAAGCATTGGAAGACAAGAATGAGGCCAGAGGGTAGGATTGATCAATAGGGGGAGGGGGTGCTACTATTGGGGGGGGTAGGGCCTGTGTGAGGGGTACCCTTTGTGAGCTGGAAAAGGTCAAGATTTGGATAGAGTTTTAAACGGGCAAAACGACATAATTTTTCTAGATATTTTGGGGGGATTGTTGGTAGCATGAGCCCTTAGGAGAAGCCATCAAAAGGATTGGTGAGAATCCATCAAAAGGATTGGTGAGAATCAGGAAGATGAGGAGATGAAGACACCGGCCTCTAAGAAATGAAGACTATGAGGAGTTCATGAAGAAGGTAACGAATAGGAATATTAGTTGGACAAGAAGGTACATAAGCATATGCAAAGGAACACGAAGAAAGTACATAATAAAAAACTATACAATAATAGTACTATACTGTTCGTTTTCTGGGGCAGCTGGGTTTGATTGATAGGGGAAGGTTTCTGCCCAGAAACATACTAGTAAGATGTCGAGGTGGAAGTCCTTGTGTTAAATTAGTTTAGTATGGGGGGGGGTCGAGCTGGGATTGATTAATAGGGGGTGGTTACTTTCTGTGCGCGCATTATTGGGTTATCCTTTTCATCTCGGCCATAGCCCTTTTGCTGTGAACCACATGAGCTTAAATGACTCTTGTTGTTTTTCTCATGAGATTGACCCACAGCTATAATATTAATTGTTTCAGACACTTTCATACTAGCTGATGTGACTATTTTTCCAATTGATGTAGCTTAATCCCTGTGCAAGTAGTAGTAGTAGTTCTGAAAAGTTGCGACGTGTTGCAGTCGCTTTCCGGAGAAGTTTCTTTGACACGAGACAGTTGATGCACTGCCTAGGTGGTCTTGCTTTGGAAGATCCCCTTGCTGAAGGGAAGATCCATGGCTGGGAACACAACTACAGGGTCTAGACTAGGAAGATTGTACAGTGTTACAGTGTACTATACAACATTGTCCAGTGTATACAGTCACTAATGAAGATTCTTGATTCCAACAACGTGCAGTGTGCGGAGGTTTACAATCCAAATCGGGTGGTTTTTGTTGATCAAGAGTCTATACATTACACAAGATCATTGCACATGATGCCAGAACGTTTCGCTTCCATTTGGGTCTTGCTTTAGCCATGCGAAAGGAGCGGCTAAGTGATTGAACATGTTTGAGCAAAGAACGACCTCGCCAGGCATGCCTCGATTGAGAAATGTGATGAGGGGGTTTCCCTTCCGTCATGTCAAGGTCTGTGAGTGCTACGAAAATATATAAGGTTCTACATCCATCTAATGATACAGGACCATTGAGGCACGAACCCATGAAATCGCAAAACCTGTTTTATGGTCCAAAGGTTGGGCACTGTACGGGCCTACCTTTTGAAGCACATCTGAAGGAGTTGGTGGGAAATCATCCGAATCAGAATGAATTCCCTGCGCTTCATCAGCCACCCAAGGCTTCACCTTCGCCGATCGAAGAAGATCTCATGTTGAAGACCCTCCGTTCACCCACCTGGAAACCCGGAGCGGAGCACACCACTTCAGAAATGGACATGCCTTTGACCCAGCCTGAGGGGAAGGATGTCGACCCTGGGTCGACTTACTCTCCAAGTCAATGGAAGTGGATGGCGCCCCTACAGTGGGCCATCAGAGGTTCCACGGTACTGGCGTCCCTACATGTCTTAGACGGATGGGGGTCCATATAAACCACCTAGCTTGGAGATTGCCATCGAGCCTCAGAAACAACTGTAGAGGTTTTTGCACAGATTTCGGATTGGGCATTGGATCCACCCCCATGTCCTGCAGCTCGGCTGGACCCGGCAACTGCACGTTCCTGCACTTCACACGGCAGATGTCTACTGAGGGTCGCAGCCTGAACTGCTGAACAGCCTTTTCAGCAAGGAATTCTTCAGCGGTTTCTTGCCTCAGACAGATGCGCCGTCCTTGGGATTTTTCCACGCGGCGTCCTTGCAACACCAGGGTTCCTCCAGTGCCGTCCTCGCTTTGAGCCCTGGAATATCTTTACTCATGGTACTAGTGTTTCTCAATGGTTTGGGGATGCTTGACATGCTTTTGGGTGCTCAAAGTAGACTCTTTCAGGATACTGTTGGATTTGTAGAGTTTCCGAGTAAGGCTACAGACTGAATCGGATGAAAGGCCGCGGCTGAGGGTTGGATGAGACATTTGGACACTGTCGTTTGCTGTTTGCCTGTTTTGACCACGAACAGTCCCGTCTCCTTCACAGGTCCGAGGAGAAAGGAGTCCGAACCTGGACGGCCATGTCACCCTCTGAGTAAACCATGAAAAACACCACGAGTTGGTGCTCCGGAGGAGACCACTGAAAAAACCAGGGCCATCATTTCTTTCACGTTGCGTTGGATGGTGGTGGTTCCCACCATCCAAGCGTTGGTGAAACCGGGCCATCTTCTTTTCAGGCCACGAAGTGAAGAGCGCTGATGTTCAGATGCTCATGGTGGCACTTGTGGCCACCTCGGTCGCATCAAAGCGACCACCGACCCGGTTCGGTTCGGTCCTTCCCAGGCCGGTCTTCCAGGAGAACCTGTTTGGGGGCCGTTGGTTGTCCGAATGAAACAAGAACTAGGTGGAAAGTGCCAATTCACCTTGATGTTCCAAACATATTCCAGAGTCAGCTACATATGGACTTTGTAGGGGAGCGGTTTGTTTCGCAGCCTGGGAGCTGCTGTTTGAGGGTTGGATGAATCCAACCCCAACTTCTCAGAAGGGGGATCCTCTTACAAGCAAGGGGTGCCCATTTGAACATGTTTGAATATTGGGCTGGCGGTGAAACAGATTGAGTCCTCTAGAAGTGTTTGGGGGAGCCAAGAGGTTGGATTCCACAGGTTGTGGTGTTGGACGGCGATGACACGCGGCTGGGGGCTTTAAGATGCTTTATGGAGCGACCTTCTTTTCCCGTTTGGGCTGCCCCATGTCCTCGGTAGGGACGGAGTCCCTGGCCCAGCACACCCTAGCAAGGACCCTGAATAACCCCAAAAAGGACCCTAAAGGAATCTGAAGAACCTGAATACCCTAAGAAGGACCCTGAATAACCTGGGACCCTCTTCTTTCACGACGCGTTTCCTCCTTAAATCCGAACTCGGGCCTCCCTCACCGCTGAGTTCGGCACCGAGGCTAAGGTGGTCACCAGCCTGCTGGTGGCTTGGCAATCAGATGGTGTGTCGGGCTTGTACACCTGGAATATCCTGGAATATCAAAAAATTTACACAACCATCCAGAAGTAGATAGGTCTGTGTGTTTTTCTATTGTTTGATTTCCCCATCTACTCCCGGATGACTATATTGAAGGCCCCCTCAAAAAGCCTAGAGGTACCCGAGTCATAGCAAAGCCCTCCAAAATGAATAGCTGCATGTCCTTGGAACACCGTTGAGGTCCGGAACGGAGACCAGACTGGAGTTCATCCAGCACTGAGTGACATCTCATGACACTACTAGGACCCTCCAAACGCGTTCCCAATGGAAGCCTACTATAGGTAGTGTGCATTCCGACAGGAGGGAATCCATTTGTATTTGTAGTTTTCAGGATCGGACTGGACTCACCTGAAAACCCGTCAGACGACCGCAGACCGGTCGATCCTACCCTCGAGGCTTTGTCCTTGCCGACGCCGACCGGTGTGGTCGCGCCCGCGCTGTTGCTGGGGGCTTTGTTGATGCGATGCTTCACCAGCCTACTTCCTGAGCGGTGGCCTGTTTGCTAAGACAGTGAGGGTGCAAGATGAGAAGATGCTTCCCGGGTGAGCTGTTCTTTGTTCATTTTTGTGTGCGTGCTGTGATTCGATTTTACAACCCTAACACTTCATGTATATGCCATGTACTCCTGGCCCATTCACCCAAATGATTGATCCCATCAAGATATACACACGTTTGAGCCATCAAGACGCAGCCCAACAAGGGGGTGATTGGACCCTAAGATCTGCATCTGGCAGGTTCTTCGCACCGCTCTTGGGTAGCGACTCCCCCAATGACTTAGACGCTTGGAACGCATGGGACGGAGGTCGAAAGACTAGGTCGGTGTATGGCAAGTGACGAGTTTGACTGGCAGACGTGTTTGAGACTGCATACTGGCTTTTCGACTGTCCCTGGGTACCTGGTGTGGTGCGTCAAAGAATACAGGATCAAGGCCAAGGACGTGGTCGTTTTGGTTTTGAAGTCAGGGCTGGCTCCCTGAAATGAACAGAAAGCACTAAGTCTAAGGACCACCAGGGACGTTCAAACGGACCATGTGCTTGGGCGCGATTCCGAGGGTGGCCAAAGACGATGAAAGTCTAAGACGTGGAAGATAGGACTGGAACTCCAAAGGTGGTTTGCTCCGGCTGCAAATTCACATCCTCCCTTCATACAAACGTCTCGGACTTCTTTGCGTTTGAGCCGACCAAACCATGCACTTGGTCCGCGACAGGGCAGTTGGCGCATCTGGATCAAGCAGCTTCCAACATGGTCTGGATGGTTCTGCCATTAGTTTAAGGATGCTGGATGCCTTAAAATGACCCCCAGACACTCCAGGTGACTGGAATAGATTACTACGCGGCTGTGGCTATGCTTTCATGACATTTGAACCACTATCAATAGAGGGTTTGAGTACCGCAAGGGTCACGTGTTGGTCATGTTTGTCTCATGCAGTGGACAACGAACACTGGACCTTGCTGGGTCGTCCACTGACCAAATGTGAACGTGCCAGGTGCAATAGGGATGATATTGAAGATGGACAGATGGGGTGGAACTTCCCTGAGCCCCTGAGAAAAACATTCCTACCCCTACCCTTCTTGTGAAGCAGTACATATATCATCCAACATCATCCCGGCCGCACCATTTGCATTCCTCGACAGTTCCTATGAAGCAAATCCTAAGATGTTTAAGCAAAAGATTTAACCTGTTTAAGTCTATGTTTTGTATATATGCTTGTCAAGATGAAGAGGCAACCTATCTTTGGATCCCAGAGTCTCATCACTTTCTCATGGGTCTCATACTCCCCAGCTGGGACGTTGAGGATGCCTTCGAGGCGCGCTTGGCCATTCTTGGGGCTTCGGCCTTCAGTGCCTTGGAGAGGTCAGAGAGGTGATGTTCTTTTGACAAACGGCCTACACTCCCAGGGCTTAGGGCTTTAGGGTTTAGCAACTACAACATAGAATTTGAACATGGCCCCTTGGAAGACCATGTTCCTCTACAAGGCCAAGGAGGATGGGAGAAAAGGATCAAGGACGAATCTCAAAGGGTACTGTTTTGGACACCTCTGGGAATCGCACCGCGTATGGAGGATGGTTTTGTGAGAAAACAAAAGACCAGTATGCATCGTATGCATCATCCAACCCAGTACTTGAAGAGAGTTTAAGTGGTTTGTGGATTCGACTTGTCATGATGTTCAATGGGTCAATCGATGCTTCGGACAAGACACGATTGGGACG